GCACTAATAGGACACGATGAGGAGACTGCCACTCCGTTAGCAGAGAGTCTCCAGGATGTAGAAAGGCGGGCATTCTGGTTCCAGTCAGCGTCTCTGGCTCTCACTGTGAATATAGAGAGGCCTGGTGTGTTGTTTTCTACAATGTAGGCCTCATATGAGCTGCTCTCAAAGACAGGCGCGTTATCATTCACATCAGAGATCTGTAAGGTGAGAGTGACGCTGCTGGAGAGGGAGGGCACTCCCTCATCAGAGCAGGTCACTGTTATATTAAACTGAGAAGCTATCTCTCTGTCTAAAGTGACCTCTGTAACTAAAGTGTAAAAGCCATTTAACGTAGATAGTATTTTGAAGGGAATGCTACCATCTATATTACACTCTACCTCTCCATTATTCTCTGAATCTGGATCATTTACACTTAACATAGCTATAACAGTGTTAGGAGGTGAGTCCTCTAATACGGACTCTGATTTAGAAAGCATGGTAATGAAGGGATTATTATCATTTATATCAATAACATCTACTATAACTTTTGTGGAATCAGAGAGTCCTCCGCTGTCTACAACCTCAACATCCATTTCATATATTTTCGCCTTTTCATAATCAATGTTTCCGATTAGGACAATTTCTCCTGTTTTTGAATCCATTTTAAATAGTTCAGATAAAATGCGTTCACTAGTAGATATCAAATATGACACTTCTCTGTTTGAGCCGATGTCTTTATCAGATGCACTAACAGTCGTTACGCTGGTGCCTTTGGTCAAACAGAGAAGTGTCATATTTGATATCTACTAGTGAACGCATTTTATCNACAAGCACCTACAAACAAACGTTTATCAGGAACCGTATTACATCTCTTCCGCTCCTTCGCTGCTCGCATCTCCCCTCCGGTACACAGCACCGTAGTGTGGAGTTGCATTAGGTAACGCGAGATACGGCTGATACTTGCGCATTCGTTTCTGTTATGGATCAGTATCAACAGTCCTGCCAGTAACGTTACTATATTATCAATGCTACTTTAGTTATAGCCTGATATATGATAGCTAACTTTACAATGTTGTGATGTGACGTTAGCTAACATTCTGTAGCTAACGCCGGTCACTCACCAAGATAGCTGCCCAGTTCTCCACTGGTTCTCCTCACACCACAGCTCAATTTCTCTCCGATGGCCGTTATTTCTTCTAATCCTTGGCTGCTCCTGGTCTCTTGGACGCCTAGCAGGCTCATAATTATAAGGTTGTGGTCCCTCATATGCATTCGAATATTCATGTTCAACTTCTTCTGTGTCTTCTGTGTCGAAACTAGCATTGGGATCCATGTTTATTAATACGTTACACCTGCCGCTCTCCCCCTTGTGTCCCCCGTGTTACGTCATACGCGGGAGGTCACGTGCCGAGGGTTTTTTATGTGGAAGTGAACATTTCTTACAAAAACGACGCCAGATGTCACTGTAGTGTATATTTCTGTATATTTTTTTGAAAACTAGTGTATTCATCATTTTCCTACACATTTATTCACAGGTGTCTTTAACCTGGAAGTTGCTCTTTAAAGAACGCTGGTGGCATGGACTAAGTGTGCAGGCGTTACCTTTTACCAAATGTTTCTGATAGCCTTGAACCTAAAGTCCTTTGCGTACAATTGCTCTCCTTCGACTCAACTCCATTACCACAGTGAGAAAGCAGGATGTTCAGAGCTGAACTGTTGCTACCGACCTATCTGAGGACACTGCTGAGCCAGAGCCTTGTCGATCTTCACTCTTGACGTCAGTCCGGACACCTCCCACGGCCGAAAGTCCTGAGCTGTGATCACGTTGACCAGATACTCAAATAATGAATCTCTGCACACACAGATACAGTCATGTTAACACTTACATAGTCATCAGCATGGGAGTAGAGCAGCATTAAAGGCTCGACATAAAGAAAGCAGCACTTACATGTTGTCTCTCATGCATCCTGCCGTGTAGACGGTGGTCTCCCTTGATGATGTCACACTGAAAGTAAACAGGTGACAACACAGATGTATCAATGGGGCTATAAGGTAACACTGGTATTTATTTTTAGACTGTCAGTGTGTGCATGTGCAGAGTACCATCACTGACCTCAGGCTGCCCCCCAGTGCCTCCAAACCACGACAGATCTTGAAGGCAGATGCACCCTTAGTGGTCTAAAACACAACACAAAGTATTTCAACAACTTTTTACAGCATGTGGGTGAAAAACAGGTTAAGATATAACAGTCCAATGGCTGAGATACTGCTTATCAAAGTACATTTACTCAGGTGAAGTACACAGTAAGCAGCTACAGAACACACAATCACAAGTTACCAGGTTTGCTGCCAGTCGCAGCACATGAGAGACGCCCTGGTTCTCCACAGTCTCATAGCGACTCCCAGCTTTCACAAACACACCGACACTGGACAGCGGGGAGTTGCTCTCCAGCGATGCTATCACCAGACCGTTGGGAAGTTTAGACACCTGAAGCAGCAACAACAATTGTTACTGCGAACCTAAAAATCAAACAATGTCCAGCGTGATTGTAGGCTGAAACAGATATGGGTATTTATATGTGAGCAGTGCCTACCTGGAAATGTTGGGGAGGGAGAGGTTTAGCTAAGGACGGCAGAGCGAGGGGTTCAGTGAGAGCTGGACTCCTCCTGGCAGCCGCATAGCAGCGTTTCTGTAGGAAGAAGAGACACACGATTTAACACAAGCAAGCATCTTGTTTTCTTTCACTGCTCTTGACTTTTTTTTCAGTTAAAAAGGGGTACAGACTCAACATAAGGATTAAAGAAAAATAAGTTTAACCAACGACTGGCAATCATTTATCCTGTGAAACCTAAAGATGAGTTGTCTTTACTGACAGCATTAGCATTGGAAAGGGACTGTCTGACAGCGAGGTAAAGCTGTCAAAATAAACTAAATATAGCAACAAATTAAACCAGCCTTAAGGTGGCTAAAATATTTTTCGCTTAGGCCCCAGTCCACAGCCCAGGAGCTGGTATGTTTCTAAAAACTGGAGCGATATTTACTGTTAGTAATACACTGACTATGGATAGGATCCCCTATCAGACAATCTGGACTATCCCTTTTGCCCACAAAGAGTAATATGACCTCTAATGTTTCCTTACAGCAGCCGTCACCTATCAACCTCTGATACAAGTACATGAGGGCTTAAGAGATACATTTGTGTTTCCCTGCCCCTCCTCCAAAGTAAATCTGAGGGGTCGGATCATATCACTAACAGGTAAGCAACAGGTTTATGTACTATATGAAGATATTTGTAGTATTATCAAGTTTGATGATTAAACTTGTTTTTTATTACACATTGTCTAAGTCAGGAAAAACATTGTGTTTTTAAGATGTATTTCAAATGCAATATTTGTATTCTGTGTGCATGTTTGCAGACCTTTGATATTCAACATGCCCAATGTAGTTTTTGAGAAACAGCCATTTGTGTACTATAATTAGCCTTTGTGTATGGGACCTCCTCCGTGTTGTTTTATATATAATAAAACATATTTTTAAGTAGTACCATGTGCCCAAAGATCAAATACAGCATGAAAAAGCCTAAAAGACTTGAACAATTGTATTGGGCACAAATAAGTAATGATAGTTTCCACCTCTGGCTTGTCATGCACTGACAGCCTGTCATAAAGCAGAGCTGGTGTGTCAGTGTAATGTTAGGTTGTCCCGAAATAACCCGTGTAACTTTACTAACATTACAGTATAAACACAAATAACATTACACATGTTTCCTGTAAAGTTTAAACAAAGCCTGTGGCCGTAAAATATCTGGTTGTCACTCAGCTATGACCACATTAAGGGGTGTTTTTCGTTTGGAGACACATCAACCAAAATATTTGGGAAAACCTTACCTGGCTTCTGACATGACCTTCAGGTTGCAGGAAGCTAACCAAAAACAAGCTACACAGCTATAAGTATTTAATAAACTGTTTTACTGGAAACGTAACGTTTAACAGGGCTTTCTGTACATGTGACTGACTTCAGGGTGTGATAATGAAACCATGAAAACAAGCCTAACGTTAGATAAACCTGCATTAGCTAGCCACCTAGCAAGCTAACTAGCCAGCAGGCTAACTGGAGCTTAATTCCCCTCTCAAGCAGCTCCAGAATCACAACGAGTTGAACTCCTAACGGTTACACGGCTTATATCAAACTGAGAAAAACGGGACTCACGGGGATATTGTGGAGGGATCGGATTCCTCTCATGACTCCGGTCTCCTTCAACCGGTACAGAAAGACAGATATGGCGGATGGCGTCGTATTACCCAGAATCCACTGTAGCTAGCAGACGATCAAAGATTATATAGGACTTCAAGATAAACTTTTGCAGGAGGTTCAAAGTTACCAAAACTATTATAAACGTAGTTGTGTGGTCGATAAATAAATTGATAGTGTACATACATATATTCATTCTAAGATGTTTTCCCTAATTATGTCTAGTTTAGGAGGGAGTCCCATTACTGCCAAGAAAAATGAGTATGAGATTTTAAATGACGTTAGTGAAGCTTGAACAATAAAAGATAAATTATGAAGTAGCCTTTCATATATCAGGGCTTCAAATTGAGTCAAAATAAAATGCAATAAATAAAAACAATACGTAGCTTGGTCTAATATCTCTTTACTTTAGTGGACATTTTCCACTGGCTTTGCTTAAATATACACATATGCAAAACGTTTTAAGTTGTTTAAGGCCGTTTCTGAAATAACAAAATAAAATTGCACTCTGAATAAATAATTTAAACTATTTATTAGAACCCACTCCATTAAAAGTCACTACGACACACATTACAAAAATAGAAACATATTACAGGTAGTAAAGACCATCATTCAGAACTTACAAAGCATTACTTACAAAAACACAGCTCACGTATAGACAACTTTTTCACGGGTGACCTTAAGAAATATTCACAGAAAGATTATTTGGCCCATAGAGAATCTTTTGTGAAATGTTTACATTTTTTTAACTATCTTTCTCACAGCTAATCACACCCCAATAAATACATCACATCGTTATAACAGTACAAAAATACACTATGTTGGCTTTTCACAGATTTGAGGTGTTCGGCCATCAAAACAGTACCGTAAACATACATCATACAGAGAGCCAGATCAGACTGCTGACTCGATCGTCAATCAGTAACTTAATATCCGTGGACCATATGTCTTTTGTCATCAAGGCAAAAATGGGACACAATTGTGACTCATTCCACAAGCAGACGTCGATCAAAACCGACTACTCTTTGCCGCCGGTAACAGCTCAATCAGCGCCGTGCCAGATCCCGGCATCCCATCTCAGTCAGCTGCTCTCCACAGCTCTGAGCTTTGTAGGGCACTGTCCCCTAATGAGGGTGCAATGAACAACCACGAAAGATTCAGACACTGTCGCTCAAATGTCGTTTGGCGTCCCGGGTAAGCAGCACATGTGGATGTCCTTCCTGAGCTGGAGAGACACACAGCTGAGCCAGCTGCGACTGGTGGGCATCTCCCCGACGATCTCCCACGCGTCCGTCTCATCACAGTACCTCTCGATCGTGTCGTGATATCTGCATGTACAGGGGAAGGAGCATTAGGAGTAGGAAGGCTGTAAATGTCTTTTGGTTTTAATGCAAGAAAAAAAAGCCACTTCACATTCCTCTTTAAATTCCAACTGCATAAGAGCAGTTCATTGCTTTTTATAAATAAATACAATATCTTACTGGGATTATTGCGGCTGATATTGTGATACGCCTCATGATAATGGAAGAAAATAATAATTTTTGCATCATTATTATTATTTCATTTATACATTTTAAATGATCGTGCTGTAATGTTTTTCATGAGGATCTTCTTAAAAACAGAGTTTAAAAAACTAATTAATGGAATTTTTCACATATTTGCCTTCCTCGGATTTGAATATTGCAATAGTCCATCTTGTGATGGTGATAACATTCAATTATCATCAACTGTTAAGCCCTAATTTATTGTCAAGTCCTGGACTCATGCAGAAGTTCCTGCTGGGATCAGATGACATTAAATTGCAGGGCTCAACGCTAACTTTTAAAAGTGGTTGCCAGGCTGGCAACCAGGCATCAGCTTTTGGTTGCCAAAACTGAAAATACAGTTGCCATTTTTTGTCACCTATTTTAAATAATTAAGATACTATACAGTTATACATCAACTTAATAATGAACATGTGACACAAAATAGTGTTCAAATGCTTTACAATAAGTAATTAACACAATTATTTGAAACCTAAGTGGTAGGAAACTTGTCCACCCCTCAATTGCTGGTATACTAAATACCAGTAGTGCAGCTGTTGTCATGTTCTTCACAGATCCCTCACAAATGAATTGAGCAAGTCAATAGTTTCATCATCCGTTGTCTCCCTTTCAAATGTGGGTTTTCTTGACCTTTGTGCTGACCCCCACCATAGATCCATTGGTCCTTCGGCATTGAAGTCTTGGATTGGCCAGACTAATACATTTATAATGTTAAATACATGAAAACCATTCACAGTTAAGAATTAGATATTAATTAGTAATGCTGTAAATTACCTTTAAATATTGTAACTATATTTAAAATGCGTTACCTTTTTATAGAAGTGATTATATATACGTTTTGCACTTTTATTTTGGTAGTAATAAGATCGGGACTCTTATTTTGAAGGAACTTTTACCGGAAGTGGATGGACAACGAAGCGGAATGTTTCGCCTCCCAAGACTTTACCCATTTCCTCTTTGCTTTTCGTTCGGGTTCATCTTGCGCTTTATCAGTTGAATCACTTTGAACATTCGTTTGAGATGTTGACGGGTTGGCCGAACTTTTTACCCCATAGTCAAACAACTTAATTTGCTTCGCCATTTTTTGTAAAACAAACACACGGTGCACCGCGCACGCGAGTAAACGTACATCGCTGTCTGGCTCCGTAATCACACCAATGCACGTGCAACTTAAGTATCAGGTTCCGACTGGTCACAACAATAATTAAATATCACTCTTAATACAACAGATATTTAACATTTATCTATTTTGGGGTGCACATTTTGCTGTCCTTATTTCTTTATGTTAAAAACTGGTTGCCACGGATGGCAACCAAAGGCCAAGAAGTGGTTGACATGTTTTCTGAATGGTTGCCAATGGCAACCTGGCAACCGTTACTGTTGAGCCCTGCATTGACAAGCAACTTTTCAAAATGTTCCAGATGAGCCCCTCACCTGTCCCAGCCCTCTTCTCCTCCCAGGACGTAAATCTTTCCATCCACCACTGCCGCCCCGGGCCGGTACCGTCGTTCTTTCATTGGAGCGCACATGGTCCACTTGTTGGTCTTTGGATTGTAACACTCCACCTTATCTGTGTTCTCTGTTGAGGCGTGCCATCCTCCTGTGAGAATAAACAAGAGATCGTCATGATCTTGTTTGATTTCAATGTATATAAAAAGGTCTTGCTGTGTTTTTGTCGGGTGCTATAAAAGAAGATTGTAACTTTTGTAAATTAGTGCCCATTTCTGATTGTTTAAACGTTACAGCCAAACAAAAATATGTAACCTGACAAAAAAGAGAAAAAATAATCTGGGCTGAAAATGTCTTGCCACCACTGTTAGCAGTAATGATTTAAATAAATTATCTAAATATAAATGTAAATTATTCAAGCTCATATTTCATTACCACATACTTTGTACTTTGCTTAGTGCCGAGAGTCATCTCCCTCATGATGTTTTAGTTTCTAAAAAATATATCATTTTATAGTACATCAGATGTAAACAGCGGCCAACATAGGAATTACATGTTAGTGTGTCGAAATAACTTCTTATTGCGCACATTTATCCAAAAACTTGCTTTGTATTTTATCAACATTTTATTTTGTATTAAATGTTGCACTCTCACTAAATAATGCTCTGAGGCACAATGGTGGGGAATAGCTGCTGTAAAGAGAGTTACATACCTATAACATAAATCTTTCCTTTGAGTGTGCAAGCAGCTGAACCGGAGCGGGCGATCTGCATGGAGGCAACCTCGGTCCACATCGAGCGTTTAGGGTTGTACACCTGAGCGAAGTCTGTGCCGTCACCATCCTCTAGAACGGCTCCACCTACCAGGACAGGTTGACACAAGCATAATAAGTGGTAAAACAGCAAATATTTTAGTCAGAAAGCACAACCTCAGGAAAAACGTTCACATGTGTAGCCTGTGTTTCCTACCAGTAACGTAGAGCAGTCCGTCCAGTGCCACCACAGCGGGGCTTGTGACGGCCATCTTCACTGACTCTGTGAACTGCCAGGAGTTGGTGTGAGGGTTGTAGCACTCCACAGAGTCCATGCGGGACCCCCCCTCCCACCCCCCCACTGCATACACAAAGCCATCCAGCATCACCAGGCCTGAGGGCAAGATTAACCAAATCAGTAAACTGATTTTATCTAAACATAACAGATATTTACCCCCACATGTTAGAGTTAACTTAGCTAAGAGCTTCGATGTGTCCTGGCTCAGCAACGGAAACAAAATGTATGTGTGTAGTCTGTTTCTACACGGTAAAAAGCAATTATTATCTTTTAGGGTTGGGTTCCGAACTCTATCGACTGTGTTACATATCTATTCAAATGGGGCCAACTTTTAGTGCCTTGGAGGCAGAGTATATGATCTGCAGCCATACCGCACCTCAGTGTCGTGTTTAATGTGCTGGCAGAGGAAAAGAGAAGGAGGTGTAGATTGTTCACAGAGAGTCTAGGTAACAGCATCCCACAGTGGTTCCAAGTCTGGTAACATTTTCCATACTCGACATACACACTCAATACAACACTTGTACACAAAATGCAAAGCTGGCGTTCTCACGTTATACACAGGTGATAGAGTGACAGGCTGAAAGTAGTGGTGAGATTTGAGAGGAAGATAGGGAAGGGGGAAGGGGTTTACTTTGTGTGATGTATTTAGAAGTTTGGAACTGAAATGAAATTCTTAAATAAAGAGACAGTAAAAGAGCCACAAAAGGAGCCATTGGTTAATAGTTCAAATATGAACGTTACCCTATTCTACTCTTTCAACTAAAACTTGGCTATAATCAAAGATTATTAGCCAACAGACAGATTTATGACATCTTATCAGATAGATTGCACATCTTCCGGCGCAGACTGAAAACTCATCTCTTTCGACTCCACTTTGAGCGATAGAATTACTAACAAAGAACTGCTAACAAAGCACTTATATACTAATAAAGGGCTGGCTTATCTAAAGCCAGTTGAGTAACACTTGAAATATTTGTTTCTATGAAACCTGATTTACTTATATGATTCTGTTTTCTTCAAGGTTGTATCTTCCTGTTCGAATGTACTTATTGTAAGTCGCTTTGGATAAAAGCATCAGCTAAATGCAATGTAATGTTATAAATGAGTTTAAATCACTGAAAGGCCTTATCAGGTCCTATGTGTTGTTGTAGTGAGAGTGCCTCACCTAACTCAGAGCGAGCAACATTCATGGGAGCCATCTCCATCCAGGAGTCGAAGCAGGGGTCGTAGCGCCACATCTCCCTGCTGGCTGAGCCGTCAGGAAACTCTCCTCCTGCCAAATACAGAGTGGAGTCTGCAGAGGAGGAGCGGAGGAAAAAGACGTGTCACTTAGCTGCTGCTCATTTCAGAGAGAGGGGGACACAATATGGAGTTTTGAATTGATCTCACCGGACACGACCAGCCCGTGTTTGCTCACAGCGAAGGGCAGGCAGGCCAGATTCTTCCAATGATTGGTCAGAGGATCGAAGCTCTCCACGCTGCGCAGCACCAGCTTGTCGTCCTCCCCGCCAACTGTCACTATGACTTCAGCTGTCCCTGTTGCCGTGGTAACAGTAGTAGAAGAACAGAGAGACGTGAGCCGAGGCACGCTTGCCTTTGGATAGATATTCATCTAATCCCTGTAGGATACAATGTGGTCGTATACGGGGCTGTGACTGTTGTTGGGATTATTTTAAATCATACAATATCTTAATCCGTTTGGTCAATTCTTTTTTGGTCCATAGACTGCCTCACAATTTCTACAATTTCTGTGCAAATTGACAGATCTAAATGTTTAGTTTTTTTTATGATGCCGCCAAACCCAAACATATTTGGTTTAATTAAATCCAGCAAATATTTACTTTTGAGAAGCTGGAACCTATGAATTTGTGGCATTTTTGCTTTAAACATGACTATTAAATCAATGATTACAATAGTTGCTGATAAACCTTGATTGACTGATCGATCAATCCACTAATCATGTCAGATGTAGAAGTTTGTGAGCACCTAACAGAGAGAATTTCTGAAACCAGATGCAAAAGCTGTCAAATATCCCATAGTAATCCCACAATGGTCCAGCCGTGCTGGACCATTTTCTGGAATTGCAGATGAGTCGATAAGATTCAAAGTATGTCACAGTCACTTATATGATCTGTGATATTTTTTCAGGAATAGCTATAGAAAGTGAACGTGTGTACCTGTGGACCTGCGCGGCCTCGCTCGGGGACAGTAGAGCTCTCCGCGGCGGTCTTTCAGCAGCAGGTAGTCCTTGGCCTCGGAGATGAGCTTCTGGCAGGCCTGGTTCTCCTTCACCACATCCAGAGACTCGATCACATCGTGGAGGTAGTATGGGCTGATGAGAGACAGGCGGATGTGTTCGAGGACCTTTGAGGAAGGATTAGAAAAAGAACTCTAAGGAACTGCCACTGTGACGGTTATCACTGCTGGTTGGAAAGTCACAGGAGTTAAAAATGAAGCCAGGAACTCTTTAGCTAAGCACACTCACCGGATAAGATGTTAGAAAATTATTAGTCTGGTACAGTACATAACCCCTCATGACAGCACGAACAGTTTAATTTATACTTTTAGAGACATAGCTCAGCTTGAGCACTCCTCACAGGTTTCCTTTGATGGTTTCTTTCGACCTTCTGTAGAATGTAATGTTTGGAAATTATTAAGTATATCTGTTTTCATCTCCAGCATGGTAAAACAAAGAGTGCAAAATACGTCAAAGGAAAAGAAGGCAACAATGACAGCAGACAGCGTTCTCCAGAGGTGGCATGTCATCCTTCATTTATGAATGTCTTAAAGACTAACAGCTGCTCAGCACTGTGACTCACCAAATAAAGAGATGCCTACTGCTCAATATATACATGAACAATAAAACATTATACAGGCATTCCTCTATCGGAGATTGTGTAAACTAACCTTTTCAAAGCTCTGTTTTCGAGTGGCACATTTGTTCAACCAGGACATGGCGGCCTCAAACACCAGCTCCTCTTTAGGCACATTGAGATAATCACTGGCGATTATTTCTGTCAGTTTGTCCACACACAGAGACAGGAACTCCTCCTAGTGGGAAAAAAACGACACATGAAACTGTGAAAAAAATAAATCTTAACCCGTTTTGTATTAGGACAAAATATCAATGGATTTAACTAACAATCATTTTCTCCATTAAATCATGTAAACTTGTTATCTATACAATTAGTGAAGAAATGTCCCTCGCAATTTCTTAGTCTGTAACTTTGCCTCTTGATTGCTTGTTAAGTCTGCCAATAAATGCAAAACCTAAAGAATATCAAATTCCCAATAAGCAGTAGAATTTTATACATGTATTTTAATTCCAGTTGAGGATTTTTTTTACATAGTTGCTGGTGCTCAATTTAATAGGCTCTCTCTCCTCCCTCTCCCCACTGAACTATAACTCCCCGTGCACACTCAAATCCAGCACCAGACACTTTTATTTACGCTGCTATGGACAATCTTGCAATAAATGCACATTCTATGGACAATCTTGCACTAATGTACATTCCCAAAGATATTGATATTGAAATTGAAGTGACTGTTATTTTTTTATCTATTGATTGTTTTTTATCTTAATGTGTGCATATGTGTAAATGGGTCCGTTGATTGTGTATATAGGATATACATATTTGTATTAGGGCTGTACCCGAATATCCGAATATTCGTTCGTTGGAGAACTATTTCGGTTTCGTTATTTTTTTTAATGTATTGAAATCTCCAATATCAAAGTAAGAGCTTGTGCCTCTTCAGGGAGTGCTAACACTTAACCATAAACGTTATAGTTTACTTTCTCCGTCTTTATATGTAGATATTATTTTTTCTCCATTAATCTCCGTCACGTTGTTTCCATAGCAACAACAACTTCCTGTCAACTGCGCTAACTTTCCTTCAAAATAAAAGCATGTCCATACAAAATAGAAAGCCAAGCCAAATTACCCTTAAGACATACAACTGCAACGAAAGTAACATACACAATGCAATATCCTTTTCAATTTCAAAGAACACAAATTGGGTTGTATATATTAACAAATAACTATAAAACAACAATACTGTAGAATAACAAAAAGAATGCCGTGAATAAACCGAAATACACGCGTCAAAGCGGTTCACTGCCGCGCGGAACGAATATTAGAATATTCGCTGCTGATTACTACTGAATATCCGGAGCCCGAAAAATGGTATTCGGGACAGCCCTAATTTGTATACATATCTGTGTATTGTATAATTGTATTTTTGTATTCGGGATTGTTGGAAACGTCATTTCGATCTCTCCGTCTGTACACACAAACTGAAAGATTGACATTAAAGTTTACTTTGACTTAAGTGAAAAACTATTCAGTAAAGTTAGAACGATACATTTTTTTTTTTTAAGTTTTGAAAGCAATATTTAGTTCAAACCTGATGTTGCCTTCCATGTTAAAGAACACTCCCATTCACTTCCATACATGCTTATTAACTAAACACAGCAAATACCCAAGCCCCAGGTATCAGCATGTAGACTGAAAAGGTTTGATCAGCGTTTCTCACCTGCTGAGAAACGCTGCTGAATTGCTCATGAATGTACTCCATGCTGCGTTTTTCCAACACCTTACAAGAATGGGCCTCGGCGAAGCAGTGAATCCCCACACAGTTCATCTCGTCCATCTGACACTCCATAAAGCGACAACAGGCCTCTCGGACGGCCATCACGTCCAACAGGTTGGCTGCTGCCAGCAGAGCCTGGAACAAATGTTGTTGTTTTTCAGGACAGATTATTTAGAGGAAGGGCGCCAGTGAAGAAGAAAGAATGGCTGGTACTTTACCTGCACATTTGCTTTAGAAATGTAGACCTCTGAGGTGTAGGCGTAGCTCACCAGCATGCCAATCATCTGAGGCTCAACTCCATTAATGGCAACACGTTCCTGTTTGGACTCTATCAGGTCAGTGGAAAACATTGCCTGGAGAGATGGAGGAAACACCCAAAAATCCAAACTGTTTACATGAATTTGTAGCGTATGAACATCTGGACTCCTTGAGTTGTTGGTCCAAAGAAATGTGGGAGAACTTGACTATTAACATTGAATGTTTTTTTAGACTAATATTGCCAAAGCTAGATGTATTGAATCATTGTAATGAAACCGTAATCCATGCATTTATATCTTCCAGGCTTGATCATTGCAATGTCCTTTTCTCTGGTCTGTCCAATTCTGATACTAGAACTGTTTAGTTTCAGTAGTCCAACATTATGAAGCTAGAAACGTGACAAAAACTAGAACGTTTTACCATATAACATGTTGGCCTATCCGTAGTGGTTACAAGGCCATGCTACAAGGCCATGGGCTAATAAAGCCATACTGTAAACTGTCACTCTCTTGATGCTGGTCATTCCTTCAGTTGCTTCAGATCTCTGTCGGAAAGGGCTGTCTGACAGCAAGGTAGAGCTGTGAAAATATTTAAATTATAATACATAAACCTTTTTGGGAGGGATTTTTTGTCCACAGCACTACACTGTTATTCTGTAGTACTTCTGTGCTGGTCCTCTTGTCCATCTACTCACATAAGAACCTCATCCAACTACACTTCAAAGAATCCGATCTATCCCATTGACATTGCATTTTTTGTCACTTTTTTTTGTTTACTTGTATGCACTGTATGATGCATCACATTCCATGCAATCTTCGTAATTGTCAAGTGTATTGGGTATCTTCACTTTAACAGAAATTGAGTGATTGATGGAGTGATTGATTGAGTGTGTCACTGCCATGACTGTGGTGACGGAGAGCTGTGTTTACCTGGAAGTAAGAGCTAAAGGAGGCCAGCACAATGCGATGGCAGGGGAACTCCTTGCCTCCGCAGCACAGGGTCACATCACAAAAGGCGTTGTTGAGCCTCAGGCTGTTGAGGCCCTGCAGGACGGTGTTGGGGTGCCTGGCCTCCACAAACAGGTAGTCCTCCTCGCTGCTCACCGAGGCCGGGGGGGCGGCTGCAGCTGTGTCCTCCTGGATCGGGAAGGTGCCGTTTATAGTGGACGGCGAGGGCAACACGGCGTGGACGGCGATTATTTCAGCCATTTCTCACTTTGTAGTGGGGAGACAAACAGACAGCACAGTTGGAACACCTTGACTGTCAATTCACGTTTTAGATAAAACCGACAGTTTAAAGATTAGCCGGTCAACACTTATTTTCAGTAAGTTAATTGCTGTTCAAAATTGCCATGTGTAAAAGTCGCAGGAGAAGCAACACGACGGAGAGAGGACCTGAGATTACCTGTTAGTTAGCGGACTAATTAGGTTTAGCGAATCATAGCCGATATCTCTCTCTAGTGATATGATATCCTTCGTTTCAGCAGAATACATACAAGGCACAGGCAGGGGATATAAAGCATTCAGCAGTTGTAAATTATAATACCTGTTAGACACGATCGTGACCACAACAGTACGAGCCCACCCTCTGCAGTCACACACTACCGTCAAACGGTAACGACAGGGCTTTAAAACCTCTCCCCGGAAGTCCTGCCCCACAGCACAAGAGCAATCACCCCCAAGTACTTCCGGCTTTGTGTAAATTCCCAAGCCGAGAAAAAAGTGTAATGTTTGCACCAAAGTCTTTAATGCATTTGTTTTACTATTATATGCCATACGTTACTTTAAGACTAGAAGGATCATCTTACATTGTGTAAAACTAGTCATAATATCAAAACTGAGTGTATAAATGAAAACATTAAATTATTCAAAACCTTTTTTATTATCCAGACTTGTAGTAGATTCCACATAGGCCTCTATATACATGCAGCATGTTTAAAGAATAAGACACCGAAACTAATAAACACAAAATAAGTAATACAAACTGTTTTTTATTTTTTATTAATTATGCATTTTGCTTTACCTTATATTAGTTGTTTATACATCAAGCACACATGGAACAATGCAAGGAATTATTTAGAGTCCAATAACTATATTTTTTACCCAACATACTGTGTTCGCTGGCTATTTGGTTGCTAAGTGGGTTCATCAGATCTTTTTTTTCAAAAAATAATTCCCTGGATCATTGACTTCCTGTTACATCTCTGGTTAACTTCTCAAGTTATCAGGTTGGGGCATTTTAACTATAGAACAATAAGATCCAAACCTGGTCAGCCCAATTATTTAGGCTCTACACAAACTTTAAAATTAGTCTATTATTTTTCTTTATTTGTATTTTGTTCACTTGCAGTTATGCTCTTTTGGCCACAATATACTGTCATAACATACTTTATTGGGACCAACTTTTTTTGTCCAAAATGGAATGTGAGTCCTCACAATGTGACTGTATGAACAAACCTATGTTCCCAAAACCAGGGAACAAGTAGACACACACAAGCAAATCTATGTATATATTTACCCATCACTAATTAGGAGACATTGTTTATTATATTTGATTTATTTGACAATTATATTTTCAAGTCAAAAGTAAAAACAACATAAAACAGCACATCGTCCAACGATTGTCATTTGTGGAAATAAACGATTCACGAGAAACATCTGTGTATTTGTATTACAATTTTCTTGTCTTGCTCAACCAAATGTATCAATGCTTTTCTTGATATTGTAGGTAAGTACAGTAAAATTCAGTTTCGAGGAAAACATTTTCTTGTATTTGGAAAATCAAACTTTTGTCTCTATTTACAAAAAAACACTCTCTTTAAGCCTTAAATAGGATTATAATGTACTGTTCATGTGTTGTTTGAGATTACAAGCAGCTGTCTGTCATGATGCCTGGACTCTCCAGTGCTTTCTTTCTGCGAGCAACAGCTTCCAGGATCTTCTTCCTGGGACCCAGCTGGATGCGGATGCCTTTCAGATCTTCATCAGAGCAAAGCATCAGCGCCTCCAGGTCTAGGTGCTCTCTGCTGAATGCAGGGGCAAACTCTGGCAAAGAGATGGCAGACAAGAATCCATCCAAAGGAGAAGTCTCCTCATCTTCATTATCATCCAGTCCCAGGTCTTCCTGATCCCAGGGCAGATCAGCATCAATTCCATCAAATCCAGCAGCATCTTCCTCTGCATCAAACATCTCGTTCTGAACGAGGTAGCCCAAACTTTCATTGTTCCCACTGGGGATGTCTTCTGAATCAAGTCCCATCTTCTTCATGAAAATCAGACCGCCAAGGCCAGGCCGGTTGAAGATGGACTGTTTGATTTCGCCTGGTTCATCGTCAGAATAATCGTCAAAGCCTTCCTTGTCTAGCATGCTCTCATCCTGCTCGTTGAAGACATCCAGAAACTCTGGCTGATCAGTCGCTGCACTATCCTGTTTCAGGAAAATTACGTTCCCATCCCCTCCTGTTCTCTGCAGCGTGCCTTTATCTTTTTTACCGAGCTTCTTCTGGAGTGTGCCTTTAACCCTGGCTGTGAGGGACCCGGATTTATCCGCAGAAATCAGCTTGGAGAACTGCTCGTTGATGCCGGACATGGTGCCACCCTCTGAGAACGCTGATGCCATGCTGGCCTCTGAGACAGATCCAGTATTATCCGCTCTATGTTGCATTTTATCCATCTTGCTCTGGTGTTTCTTCTTCACCTTCTCGCAGAGTTTTATACGTTTCTCTGCTTCTTTGATGGCCTCTTTCTTTAGATTGACAACCTTCTTTGGATTTTGGTTGGTCTGCTGCGATGAAGCAGCATCTAGGAAGCGCACGCAGTCCATGCGGTCGCGAGAAGCAGCAACGTCCATAGCTGTGTGGGATTCATTGTCCAGTGCAAAAAGGTTAACACCGAAGTTGACGAGAAAGCTAAGGATGTGCATGTGGCCATTAGCAGCAGCGTGGTGCAGAGGTGTATTTCCCCAGATGTCACTCTTGTTGGGGTCTCCTCTGTTTGAAACAAAAACATATTTATTTTAAAGTAATGATCTGCAACTCTTGTATGGGTTGGACTAGAAAGAGATATACATAGGATATCAGTGACATTTAGAGGAGCTGGTAAGTAGATTTTGGACAGAGCAAGGCTAGCTTAAAAAAAATATTTGTACAGTCTTTGGACACTAAGCTAAGTTAGCTAAGAAGCTCCAGCTACAGGTGTCAGACAATCTTCTAATTTGACTCTTAGCAAGAGAGCAAATATGAATATCCTAACCCTTTACATTTAAGGTTAGAATTAACGTCTTTCATGTCAAACAAAAACTGATGACATATAACTTCATAATACCAAACACAGCTAAGTGAATTGGTAAACTATTAAGAATTAAAGTCCTCTTGCGCTGTGCCTCATTGTCACAGCCATAAAAGTCTTTATTGCTGTATTCCTGCAATACAGTGTCGTAAAAACCAATGACCAAAGCAGAAGAGCTTTAATTATTTCTTTCCACGTAGCAGGGTGAGGTGCGTGTTACGCCCTACTGAATAGGCTGTCGCAGAATCATATTTTTTTCAGTAAGAATGCTGTTCTAGATTGAAGCCTCTGTTTTGTTAGGTTGAACAAATGATTCGGGGGGTTGTGGTTACAGATAAAGGGCTCTTTTGTTTCACAGGAGGTTTTTGGTTGATTAAACATTTGGCTCAGCTCATGGGAGTGGAATTAAGTTTTAGCTTGTTATATTGTCTTCAGAGACATGTTTAAAACCAACACATGAAGAAAAAACATAGATGCAGTCCTAAATAACTGATTAGCTGTATACAATTACATATTATTGTAAGTTTATTGGACAACATGCTACAATGTGGTCACTGAACATTGACTGTATCTTAGTTTAGTTATAATGTGCATAATACATCAAGCATTTCTGCAGAAATTGCTTTAAAATGTATGGTTCTCTAAAAATGTAACAATTCAGCCAATTTACCAAGCCTTTTCATTAACCATAAATTAGATTAAGCTGGCTATATATGCAAAATTACTCCTAGATGATAGAGAAGAGTGCATCCTGCTTACTCTCGGCTGCATATGAGCTGAAGAACATCGACATGTCCGTGGAAAGCAGCCAGTAAAGTGGGAGTCATGCCATCCTCATCCGTAGAGTTCAAGTCCTTCCTCGTGGCCTCCTTCAAGAGGTCCAAGTATCCATCAATCGCTGCTTTGTGGTACCTAGACATCTCTTCACAAGAACAGAAACGTCTCTTTTTTCACTTTCCCCCCACTCTCCTGTCAGATGCACACACTGACTGAACTGCACACACCGAGCAAACAAAGTGCTCACTGGGCGTCAACGAATCAGCAGATCAGAGCCATAAAAGAAAAACAAAGTCCAGTTCACTGCTGTCAGGCACATAATGTTATGCTGCTTGAGATCATCATTAAGGTGTGTTTAAGATGCATTGTACAGTGTGGTCACAGCAAAGATTTCCAGTATGGCCTAATCATTTTCTTATCTAAAGAAAAACTGTTCGTACAGTGATCATCCCACAAACATAGTTTATAATAATATAACTTCCACAACTTAACTTAACCATTTTTTTTATACTGAAGTACAATTTTATATGGAAGACTTTTTGATTATAACACCATACTTGATAATTTTTTACATTACATTTAGATTTTTTTTATCATTTTCATTGTGTGGTTATCTCTTAAAACCGTAAACATGTCATTCATATTTAAACCAAAGTAAAAGTACAGAAGTTTCAATTGAATATTCCCATTGTATGGATCTTTATAGCCAGTGGCGGCGCCAGGGTATGGCTGGGGTAAGCTACAGCCATACCAAGAAATGGCTTAGCCCCACCTTAGCCCCACCTAAGTAAGTAAGCAAAATAAAGTCCGCCAACTCGCGCGGAATAAATTGCACAGACAGCAGCTGTAAGATTGATTTCAGTAGCCACTTGTCTGGAAATACCGAAGACTAGAAACGGTTTTGAAAACTTTTGTCACGTAGTGATCGTTTTCTCAATAGAACATCTTTGATAATGTCTTCTGGCCAATCAGAATCAAGATAACGGCGTGGTGTTGTTGCAGGAAGTCCCGACGGAGAATACTTTTGCTGTAGTACATCTCTATATACATTACGTGTTGATATAAATCAACACGTAATTGATAGTTTAATTTGATGATTGATAGGTGTGTGGGCTGTCTTTAATTTTGACACACAGAACAATGGGGGCTATCCACCATTATCCACATTGTAAAGTAATTCACACAGCCTCTTCCCTCTTCTCTCTGTGAGGAGCAGCAGGTTCAGCTTTCAGAACAAAGTAACAAAAAACTAAAATGGCATTCATTTTTTTAAATATGTCGTGTAGTAATATATATATTTTTTTTTCTTCAAAAGGGAGCACCAAAATAAGTATTTTATGTTAGTACTTCAAAAAATCTCCTGGGGCAGAATCCCCCCAGACCCCCGCAGGGGTTGGGTTTTCAGCATGTCAACTCTTTCACTTGTGGGGAAATTGCAGGATTGGCTCCTGGTCGTCCTTTTTATTTACTACAAGACAAATGTGCCTTTTTATTTCATACAGTTCAATTTGGATTGAGACGGGGAAATAAGCTAAGTCTCACGCGTGGCGTTTCACTGTCAAGGAGGGCGTGTATGTAATTACATTGCAAATACTGATTTGAGCCCCACGACTGTATGGGTTAGCCCTTCCATAACCCAACAAAAATACTATGGAGCCGCCACTGAATCAGTTTAACTGCATTTGTTTCATATCACTTGTTGTAATTTGTATTTTCAACTCAGAGGGTCGCTATTGGCAAGCTTGTTGTGAATTAGAGCTTATATTTTCTGTCTGTCCTGCCCATTCGTGTATATACGGGATCATAACCGGAGAAAGACGGAGCAAACAGTCTGCGCTTATATGGAGCCCTGAGAGGATTTACATTTCTGGATGCTTTGTTTTTCCTACTAAAGTTGGAGTGTGGACGGTTTTTCTTGATTTCTACTTTGGCATTGACTGAATTGGGATGTATTTGTTTTAACGGTGCAGGAAACGATTCCAGGCAGAACAATGAGACGGCGAGTACTGTTGTTTTTCTCGCTGCTATGCCTCAGCTACGTGATCGGGCAGGTCAGTTATTCCATCCCCGAAGAAATGTCGAAAGGCTCTGTCGTTGGAAACATCGCCCAGGATTTAGGTTTAGATCTTAAAAGGCTGAAATCCGGTAAAGCCCGTGTCTATACAGGAGGCAGCGTAGAATACATCGGGCTGAATAAAGAAAGGGGAGTCCTTCTCATTCAGGAGAGAATAGACAGAGAGGCTTTGTGCGGAGAGACGACGCCTTGTGCTTTACATTTCCAGTTAATTCTGGAAAATCCAATGGAAATGTTTCGTGTAACAGTGGAGATCACCGACATAAATGATAATACCCCCAGTTTTACAAATGCAGAAAAACGATTTGAAATCAGTGAGTCTGCTGTCATAGGATCGAAATTTGTATTAGAAAAAGCAGTTGATTCTGACATCGGGATAAATGGCTTACAGCGATACTCACTTACTCCTACTGATAACTTTGTATTAAAACCTGGAATTCAGGCAGGGGGAAGTAAAAAGGTCGAGATGGTTTTACAGAAGCCTCTAGATAGAGAAAAGCAGGAATACATTTCACTTTTGTTAACCGCTATAGATGGAGGAGAGCCGCAGTTGTCAGGGACAATGCAGATATTTGTAAATGTATTAGATGTGAATGACAACGCACCTACATTCGCTAAGCCGCTGTATAGAGCAAAAATACAAGAACATTCTCCCAAAGGCACCAGCGTAACGACTGTTAGTGCATCTGATAAAGACATTGGTGTGAATGGAGAAATATCATATCTTATATCCACGAACAAACGTGTTTTATCTGAACTTTTTAAGATAAATATAAAAACCGGTGAAATTATCCTTATCGGTGACTTAGATTATGAAAAGGCGAAGATGTATCAAATGGATATTGAAGTTGTAGACAGCGGAGGACTCTCTGATTCCACGAAAGTTGTTGTAGATGTTATTGATATAAATGATAATAGTCCTTACATTAACATGCTTTCTAAATCCGAGACTGTGTTAGAGGACTCACCTCCCAACACTGTTATAGCTATGTTAAGTGTAAATGATCCAGATTCAGA